AGTTCAATAAACAGCGCAAAACATTCGCGAAGTGTGAACGTTGCAGAACATAATTGTCAGTTTCTATGGTAAGTTTGAAAAAGTTGGCTGAAGTTCTGTGATTTGTGTTCTGTGATTTTATCATTTGTTGAAATCGTTGAAATTTGTTAGAGGTCATCAGAATTGTTTGTGAAAACTCACATAAAATGTTCCAAAATCCGGAATATATTGCTGATAAGGCTTAGAAATCGTATTGGATTTACTACCTAGGAAGTCTCGTGCCATTTACCATAAGGAATATGATGCTTTTATTGAATGGAAACACGAAAATGGAGATGTGTTGCTGAATTATTTACACGAAAAAGTAAGTAAACATTTCAAAAACTGAATAGCTACTTACGCGTATTTCAAGGCTTTTCCATTAAAATTCTCTCTTAAATTACAGTCGCAAACGTTCAAACCGTCGACAGTTTGGTCGAAATATTCCATGCTGAAAGCAGTGTTAAGTGTTAAGGAAAATATCCACATTGACCAATTTCCAAGAGTAATTGCTTTTTTGAAGAGGAATTCGGTTGGTTACGAGCCTAAGAAGTCTAAGGTTTTGTCCAGAGAAGAGATCGATCAATTTCTGGCTACGGCTAGTGATGAAACTTATTTACTTACTAAGGTTAGTTGGCGGAGATGATTTTTAAATAGGTAGGTGGTTTTTTATTGTATCTCATTTCATCTTAAGGTTGCTCTTGTCATTGGTCTTTGTGGAGCATGTAGAAGAGAGGAATTGCACTCTCTACAAGTGCAAGACATCACAGAAAAAGACAACAACTGCCTTCTAGTCACTCTTGCAGATACGAAGACTAATATCAAAAGAGTGTTTCCGGTGGTGGGCGAAGGGAACAGTGCTAATTCAGTTGAGTTGTATAGAAAATATGCTTGTCTTCGGCCAAAAAATGTACCTCATGATTATGTCTTCATCTCCTATCGTAAAGGAAAATGCACCATGCAACGGGTCGGCATTCATTCATTCGGAAAGATGCCTTCAATTGTAGCAACATTTTTAAATTTACCAAACCCGAACGAATATACAGGTCATTGTTTCCGACGTAGCGCTGCTACTCTTGTCGCAGATGCAGGTGTGGATTTTACAGCGTTCAAACGCCTGGGAGGTTGGAGGTAAAAATATTAATATTTTTCGAACTTGTTTTAAACAACAATAATTATTTAGGTCGTCCACAGTGGCGGAAGGTTATATAGAAGAATCTATTGAAAAAAAGAAGAAAGTTTGCAAACTGCTTATGGGAGAAAAAAAAATCGTGACCACTTCCACGGATGTTTCACCATGTACATCCACATCGTTCGCATTTGCTCCACCTCAGAAAATAGATTTACCTGACAATGGGAAAGAAGTAATTTCGTTCACAGATACCAGTTTTCAAAATGCACAAAATTGTTCATTCCATTTTCATTTTTCCAAATAACTTATCAGTCAAATAATTATTAGATTACCTACTTTAGTTGTTAGCTTTTGATGTTGTTACTATATAAATAAGTAATACAAATAATGGAAGCTGTTTTTTTTTTTTGAATTTAGACATTCTATGGAATTTTGGAATAGTCCGTAAAGGTTGCCATGACGACTTTTAGGGACTAGGCCTAAAAAGAAGCATTTTACGGACTTGAATGAGTCCGTAAAATAGCTGTTTTTGGGAGCGTATGACAAAAATAACTATTTTTGACTTTGACTTTGACTAAAGTTTTTTTCGAAATTTATCCCCAATCTCTCGGAACTTACTAAAAATATAAGAAACTTGACCAAAAAAAAATGTAACTTTTTCTTGGACTGAGGCTCATGGTCAAGAACGTTGTATTTCAAAGTCAATTGTCATGTCAAGTCCAGTTTTGAAAATATTTAACAGATGCCTCGGTTGAGGGTTTGGGTTGTTGCTCGGGTTGTTGCAAGCAGGACATCCTGTAATGTTTGCTTCAAGGTGCTTGACTAAATCAGAAATAAAATAGGCAGAAATAGAGAAAGAATTGGCTACCATAGTATTTGCTTGTGAAAAATTTCACGATTTTAGTTTATGGGTATGATGTCCTTGTTCAAAGTGATAAGCCTTTGATTCCAATTTTTGTCTAAAACTTTTGATAAAGTAACAGCTACATTGCAGAGAATGCTCTAGATTGCAGAGAATGCTCCTGAAACTCTTAAAGTTTAATTTAAATGTGACTTATTTACCTGGAAAGCCAATGCTTGTTGCAAATGCATTGTCATGTGCATTTATCAAAAGTGAGGTACAAGATGATCCAGAAATGGAGTATGTTGTGCATACTTTGTCAAATGACATACCAATGTTCGAAGAAAAGAAAAATGTTTTTCGAAAAGCTATTGATAATGACGTCGTTCGTCTTGGCCACTATCAGTTAATAAATTATATCCAGATTTAAAATTTTACTTTAAATTGCGCGAAAGTATTTATTTTATTTGTCAAATAATTTATTGTTTTTGGATAACAAAATTATTGTACCCAAGTTGTTGAGATCTGAAGTGCTTAAATTGTTGCATGAACCACATTTCGGTGTGCAGAAAACTAAACTTAGGGCAAGACAGGTGTTTTATTGGCCCAATTTAGCTAAAGATATTCAAACTCTGACATCCAATTGCGAAAAGTGTCAGATCTATCAAAATGCTAATCAGAAGGAAACCTTAGTCAATCGTCCAAATTCAACGGGTCCTTGGCAGTTTTTGTTTTCAGACTTTTTTGAAGAAATTACTTGCCTATTGTTGATTTATATTCAAACTGTATAGAGGTAACTGAAACAAAAACTAAAACATCTAATGATGTTATACGGTTTTGTAAAAAAAAGTTTTCACAATTCGGTATTCCGGACAAATTTTTGTCTGACAATGTTCAGTATAAATCAAAACATTTCAAAAATTTTGCGCTTAATTGGAATTTTGAGTTAGTGTTCAGTAGCCCGCATCACCATCAGTCGAACGGTCGTGCTAAGAGGTATGTTGTCACAATAAAGAAAATGCTCTGTAAAGCAAAGTCTGTTAACGAACTTCCATTACTTGTAATGGAGTATTGCATTTTTAAAACAAAAATTCCAATTTCTGCCAAAGACTTGGAAAAATTAAATAAGGGTGACAGTGTGTTAATACAAAAAGGAAAGTAATGGCAGAAGGCCAAGGTAGGTAAATAATATCCGATCCTATTTAGTACAACATTCTTTTGCGACAGTTTTGACACGAAATATAATTTTTTTAAGGAAAATGAATGTATCTTCTTCTGATAACTTGTTATTGTATGATTTTTCATAAGATAGTAATTTCTCTGATGTGACTCTTGAGGACAATTTGGACGAAACAATGAATGAAGATGTTAACATCTTTGAAGAACAAATAAATTTAAGTTCTCCCGCTCAGTCTACAGATTCTGATAATTCTGTTATTGATTTTGCATATTTATTTAACAACAATGAAAATTTGCCTAATAAGAGAGTTCGAAGACTTCCTAACCATTTAAACGATTATGTTACTACATTCTCTTCAGATTCAGATATCGAATAACTTAGTTTAGTTGTAGCCCTTTTTCACCATATATTTTGTGATGTCTTTTTTCTGTTTTAGTTTGTATTGTTTTTTTTATTTGTCATTTTCGCTTTAAAAAAGGAACGTGTTATATGTATTAGCATTCAAGTATGCAAACTTGGCTCTAGCTTTAGCTAACAATGACCAAATACCAGCACGTATCTCAGACAGGCTATGACGGGTCTGCAAGAAAAGTAGAACTAGATAAGGGGGCCCATAAGATAAGTGGTCACAGGCTTAGTTTAGTTTGATAGTTTCGTCTAATGTATCCGAGGGGCCTTAAATAAAGTGTGTGTTCAGTTCACAAAGTAGTTTTGCTCCCAACCTAAATAGTTAAGATATAAATTGAACCTGTGAAATTTTCTGGGCGTATGTTTAGTTGGAAATAACTTATTTTTTCTACTATATATTCAATATAAATACATAATTGGTTGAAGTATCATTCGAGCTAGAGATTTTCAAGTTTCATAGGTAGATATTGAATCTTGAACACTCTTTGAGTTCTCTACTCACTCTATTATAGCAGAAAAAACCCTCATCAGAACACACGCTTCTTTGTGCTCACTTTATTCTTGGTAAAAGCAATTTTGCATGAATATTTAATGTTTGACATTTGTGAACAAATGTATGTTTATATTTGGAACACATATAGGATAGGGACCTTTATAATCAGGATTTGATTTGAGTTGTAAAGGTTGGACATAATAATCAATGAATAATATATCATTTTGTGTTGTGGTATATACCCAAAGAAAGTGTAAAACTTTTGCAGACATTGGAGATTTGAGGTTTTCTTGATACCCTATGATTAATTATTGGTGAATCAAGCGACTTGTACCTATCTTAAATTGCGTGAGATTCAGATAAACATTTTTCTAAGCATCACTGTATCAAAGTGCAAAAAGTTTAATTAAAAAAAAAAGGAAAACTAGTGATATCTCCTTAAAAAAAAAACAGGAATGCTTTTTTTAGGAAAAAATTATGTTGCCTTCATTCTCACAATTATTATCCAGGAAGCATGATCTATTGTTAGGTACTTGTTCCTATATAAGACGTAGCTTTAGGAACTGAACCCATATTTGAACAATATGCTCAAAAAAAAGACAAAAACTTTTACTAGGTCAAGTTCAGTGAAACAATATATGCTCAAAATAGATAGCAGATGGCACAATAAATATCAAAATAGAGCTATGAGTATTATACGGATGAGATAAACATAATTTATAAATCATACAAAAGTGCCAATACAAGTTGTCAGATGAAATACAATCAATTTCTTAGGTATACAACAGGTATACCTTATTATCTGTAATTATTATCAGATGTGGTTTATCACATCCTGAACATTTAGAGATTGTTCTTATTATCCAAATGAGGATTGGTCAACAGGTTAACAATAAATTAAAGGGTATTCACACAAACTTTTACTTACATTGTATATTTCCTAATAATAATTAAGCTTGATCACAAAAAAAAAATGCAATTTCACAGTTTCTACTGATAAGAGAGTATAGTATTTCACGTTTTCACTTGAAATTTTTTAATGTTTTTCAGTTTTTCCAAGATTTTACTTAATTATTAGAGGACTATTAGATTATTGAAAATTTTTTTGATCACTTGAAAAATTAACATGAATCTAAAACGATTTGAGGGCTGCACATATCAGAGCTGGTGCGTGGGCGAGCGTAGCAAACTCCTCCGCGAATGCTAGTGTTATCCGGCCGCTATTGGGGCATACATACCTAGCGCAGCAGGATTTGTTAAAAAGAGGAACCAAACAGGGACGGACCTAAAGAATAATAATATCTATGAAGGATTACGAGGGAATATTTTTCAAGGCTTCGGTCCTAGAACCTCATTGTTCTTGTTCTATATCATGCCACTGTCTTTCGGCATTATAGAGACACAAATATTCTAAATGGGATCTGATTATAATGAAATAGTCGAGGAAATAGTTTTTTGAATGTGGCCAAAACAATAATGTACTGTACACTGTACACACCACAATGACATCATTGATGATAGACCAGTTGTTAGAGTAACAGCATCCTAACTGTATTCTGAAGTAATATTTGAATAGTTGAAAGTGGTATCCTACTGCTACAGTGAATTTCAACTAGCTTTGGAGCCAACAAATTTTTAATTTCTCTCTGTGACACCTTAGGTTTTGAAAGAGATTTTCGCAGCAAAAATTCTACAATTTTACATAATTATGAGGATGTGTAATTAATAACTACATACTTAGAAAATAACAAAATCCGATGTAAAATACGAATAATGAATAATTAATTTCAGATAGAAAATAAATAGTTGGTGCTCAAATTCCATAAATTTACTGGACTTTGGCTAATAAAAAATAATGCAGCATCACTTGTTCTGTATGTAGCTAATTAATTTGTTAGCTCATTGTAATTTTCGAAATTAACCATGAATCTTTATATTATATTGCAATAATTATTAGGCTTGCAGGAATATGAAATAACAAGTTTGTAAATTGTTATCAGAATAACGGAAAAAAAGAAAGTTTCAACAAATATTGCTAATTTTACATTTCATTTTACAAACAAATTGGAGTAAAGACGAAATTTTTTTCCACACTCACAAATGGTTTTACTGACTTTGGTTTAGTGAAATTTAATTAAAATACTAATTACTTAATTCAAATGAACATGGTCATTTAAACCACATAACAGTTTTATCTGAAAATGTTAATCTAATTATATTGAAGGCATAGATACAATGGAATTAAAACCATACAAATACATAAACAGATTTGGAACGTATAAAATCAATAATAGAGAAGTCTTGCATGCGAAATTTCATTCTCTATTATTGGTTTATATAGGTATAGATAGTAAGCCATAATCGCTTATTCTTATCATCTTATTGACATTTCCATAAGCCTAATCAGTTTTGTACCTATATTTTATTTGGCCACAAATATAACGTTTCCAGGTAGACTTTGAAAATTGATTTATCCAGATTTGCTCAAAAACAAATTATTATTATTATTACTCAACTACTATAAACTTGAATATAAAGGAGATTAAATTGAATTATTAGGTAATTATGTGTGGAATAATTTTTGCAAAATCATTATAAAATTAAATCTACCTTACCATGATAATCCCAAGAGTAATAAACATTAATAATAATTGGCCTATTATTAAAGCTTGGTAAATAAGCCATAAAAGAGTATACTTTGCGTGTGTGTAATAGTTTTCTCTAATAATTACAGGATGTTTTTTTTTTTTTTGAGGAAAAACATACAACAAGCATTCTTATAAAGCCTTCAAAAAAACTTGTGTCGTTGCTTGTGTGCAATGTTTGTTTAGCAAAAAAAATCCTCCATTGAATCGGGAAAGTCCAATCCTGGAAATTGGGACCACGCGGCACAGGTATTGATCGTCCCGACCAACTAGGAAACGACGCTGCTTTCTGTCCCTATATTATCCCGACGTCACCTGGGGGGGCTTTCATAAAATGCTACAGGTTGTTGTGTTATACATAAAATTCACATGAAAAATCCCCAGTTTGTAGGTTTATCGACGATTTATTGGATGTTTCTGTGTGTCCATGGATCGTAAAGAGAGAAAAATAAGATAATAGGCTCTGTGATTTGGTATCATTGAGAATAATTTGGCATTACCTAGATATTTTCAAAATGGCTTTGTGTAGATTACTGGATTTTTCATAAAAGTTTTGGAAAATATGGAAACATCTGATGGAAATATAATGCAATTCAGGGAAATGTCTGAATGAATTTGACGTTTTTCCACAAATTTTAAAAACCGAAAGGTTTCTTGAAGAAATTAGGGAAATTCGTAGTTAATCGAAGGAATTCTTGATATTACTCATCCCATAGACTCACAGATAAACTGGTCAATTTTGTTCAAAATGCATATTTCCGAAAAGTTTTCTTGGTATAGTTGCAATCATACCAAGTAGTACTCATGGAAATTGGGAAAATTGCTATAACTTGACAGAAAAAAAGCAATTCTTCATTTTTAGACCTAATATGTACCATCGTCACCAAAAGTATCTGGGACACAAATAATGCATAAATAATCTCCTGGACTAATTCTACTGTCATTCATTTCCTCGTTCATTTCAATGCATTTAATTCATAGTTTGACAAATATTTGACAATAAAATTCATATAATAGGACAAGAGCTAATGTGATGCTGTCCCAGTTACTTTTGGTGACGATGGTACTACAACCATATTGATGTAGGTACATTTTTCTATTAGAAACTCATCAATAACTTCATTTGACTTCTATTGTTACAGGGTCAAAACTTTGAGGTCATGAATCATTCGTCTTTTCAATTTAGATAATTAAATATTGATTATCCTTAGATATTTTGATTTATATGTTATTTCAGCTCTGTGGATCCAATTTCCAATTAGCCTCTTGAGCACATTTCTGTATTTTCATTTTCCTACTTCAGGTAAGTACCTACCTATGTATATGTATACCTATATACTCTTGAATGTACTTATAAATTTAATCTACGTCGGTGTCATTATGACACATTTAGCATTGTCATTTGAATGTCATTAGGTCCTTCATAATAGCACTAGTGCGTTTAAGAATTCATAATAACACCCAAATTTTGAAATGAAAAATATACAAAAAGAAAGTTAGTTGCCAGAAGAACCTTTTCAATAATGCTGTCTCTATATTCGAAGAGACACTTTCGAACTCAGATTCACCAATAATAATATTATTTTCCACCATAAAATTGAATTTATGGCACAAAAATGGACTCCAATATTGAAGCTGCCAAAGTCAAAATTCTAAAAACCAACAAGCGGGTTCTCGACTTGTACGGGCACCTGCTAAATTTCAAATTTTAATTTGAAAAGTTTTTGCTATTTCAAGGCAAATCACATCTATTTGAACCATTGTCGATTAAATTTTGAATGATACACGTTCGATATGAACTTTATTAATGAAACTTGTGTAACTAAACCACTCGGCTAACGCCTCGTGGTTTAACGTTACACGCGTTTCATTATGGCGTTCATATCGAACTTGTATCATTAATAACTATAATGATTCTAAGAACCTCAAATTTTAACTTATCAAGACCTTTGTTTAAAGATTTCCCAGGAATAATCTATACCTAAGAGTTTTATGCTAGAAACTATGGAAAAATAAAAAAATATGGTCCAATTGCTGTATTGAGCGATCCTTCAGCTCTCTCAGGATATTATAGCAGACTATTTATCACTATCAGTATGAGATAGCCTCAAGCCCCATCATACTGAATTTGCATAATTATTATAGTTTTTAATATTTATTAACGATTTTGTAAGCGTTGTGAAAGAGTCAGAATGTCTGTTATTTGCAGATGATTTCAAGATGTTTAAGTGAGTTGCAAATGATAACGATCTGTTCAATCAGTGTTTATTTTACAAAAAAGAGCCCTTAGAACTTTGTGCGAAGTTTGGTTTCAGCAAACCTGTAGACCACTCTTTCTACGGGAAGAAATTTTGATGGCTCCATCAATTTTTATAATGGAAATAGCTTGCCTCATACATGAAAAATTTCAAGGTTTTAATAGAACTGAGCCTCATAATTTGCGAAGTTACCATAACAACTAACCGTTACCCATCCCTTAATCTACTCTGACAAAACAATCTGTAATTTACGAAGGAATAATAGTAGATTATACCACGAGTCAATAATGATAGCTAGTAGTCATTCCGAGGGAATAATAGCTATTATTGCGAGTAGTATACTCTACTTTATTTACGACAAATTACTTTATTTGAAATTTTCTTTTCAAAAACGCTCTTTGTTCATCCATCTCAATACAAATACACAAGCATTACGCATTTGACACTGACACTTTTAAGTTTGTTCAGGTATATTGTTTCCGTGGTACTACTTACTTATTTAATTCGAGAAATTATTTGATTGGTGTGCAAGCGGGAATAATGACTATTAATCCTTGCGGGAATAATATATGTCATTAAACTGCCAAAATCACAAGTATAATACTTACATTATATGTCAGTCGTAAATAAAGATATTTAATAGTTTACCGGATGACATTAAAAGTATCAATGTAGGTATATAAAAGGTTTCGAACAAAGCTTAATATCTGATTGGCTCCTTGTACACGTTCGATGCCAGTCAACATGGACTCAATATATCTGATTGGCCATTGCCGATTTTTGATTGGACGACATACTGTTTCTGTTCATGCCGCTTTGTGGGGCAATAGGATTGTCGGTTTGAGAGACAGTGCAGTGCATTACCTACTCTAGTTTGTTCGATAAGTTTATTGAATGAATGAAAAAAGGTCTATGAAGATAAAATCAATGATTTGCTTGAGGAGATAAAAGAAAAGAATAAGCATATAGAGAGAATGCGAAGAAATAGCATGGTGTTTGAGGATGAAGCGAGGGATGAAGTATCGGAAGCCGAAAAATCCTTTTCTTCTTCCCTCGATAATTTAAGCAAAATAAATGAGGAACTAAGCAAGGAAATCTCCAGTTTGAGAACAAAGAAAAAGGAGCTTCTGTTGCTAGTAGAATCTTTGGAAAAAGAAAGACGTGATCTTACTCTCAAGCTTAATGAATTAAATTCTTATAAGGACCTAATTATCAACATAAATACAATTGAGAAGCAAAATCTGGCTCATGAGCAAGATCTTAGTTCATTACGTAAAGATGTGGAGGAATTGACTGTTATGAATAAAGAGATGATTAGTTCCTTGAAAGTTCTTGAAGCTGAAAAAGAATTTCACCTGGTAGAAATTAGTCTCTTAAAGAAC